ACTGAAACTGTTTATCCCTCATATATATATATATATGCGTTTTGTCCTCGAGGACTTAATCTGGCTTAGAAACACCCGTCCAGTACGATCACGGAAGTTAAGCAACGTCGAATCTGGTTAGATGGATGACCATTTGAGAATACCAGGCGCTTTGAGCTCGGATTTGCGGTTGGTATAATTGATAATGGTTCAGAATTGTTTATCGGAGAACAGGGTTCAAATTCCAGTTGGGTTCGTTATATTCACTTACGCTGAAATACCCTTGGAAAATATATGAATCTACGCCTTCTCCCACAGCTATGGAACTTTTATCACTAAACAATTATTATCTCAAATAAAAAATCTGGTAATCTAGATTTTTTCTGGCTTTAAATAACCTGAAAAGGGTTGTTAAGCCGTAAAAAAAACGAAGCAAACAATCATTGATCGTATATTTCGATATATTTATAATATTCATCTGCGTTAAATGTTCCATGAAGGAAACTTATCATTAATTTATGATAGACAAAGCTATACTTAAATATGTATTTACTTAATTTTCCGCTTGTAAGGAGTTATCGTGCAACTGGATAAAGACACCCCCCGACAATAAATTCTTCCAGCACAGGTCTATTTTGAAAATTTATCCAAAACTAGTGATGAATTGCAATCGGATCCGGGCGGAAACAGTTATTAGGATATAATAAAACTATTTAGTGTTAAAATAATCTTATTTCCATTTCTCTGGTTTTGGAAAAGAATTAGAGTTTGTGTCTTGTTTAGAACGTATATGTCTCAAGTTTTGTTTTTAAAAAAGTAAAACGAGGTGGAATAAATGTAAAGTTGGCTTTCAGTTTAGAATTCAATAGGAAGTTAATTATTTCAGGTACTTTCCCCCAACGTCACCTCTATGTGAGCTTTTGATATGTGCAATCATGGGTGAGGGTATATGCAAGATGTACGAAAAATCATACGAACACGGTAGTAAAAACTGCAACAGTTGAGAGATTATTTGTTTCTTAGCTACTGGTCGACTACGAAGGTGCATTAAAAAAAATACCCTGCCCGACCAAGACAAGATTAAAAAAAACCAAAAAAAAAAACCTGATATGTACTTATTTGGCAAGATTTTAGAAATTGGGTGAGGTTGTGCAGGTGGCGTAAATGTCAGATCCTCGGAACGAGAAATCGTTCACTTTCGCACAAATACACTTGGTAAAGTGAAGAATCCATATCTTCCCGCCCATGGATTTATGGGTTAAATAGCAGCGATATTCAGCTATCCCCCCACGTGGGATTGCATGTGGCACAAGGCCGAGCTTATTGTGGGTCATCCGAGCCCGTAGGCCCGGCAAAAAATATAGCCTTCGAACCCGCCTAGGCGGGCTCGAGAACTGTCAACCTCCCCGAACGAAACCTTGCCCTTCGGTAAAGCTTCGTCCGGGTTCCTCCCTGCTAATGCAGAGAGTTAGACAGACGGCCCTGACTGTAACTTAATACAGCTGCTGGGTTAAATAGCAGCTCAGACCGGACTCTTCATCCGTGGATTGCAACCAGAAAAAGAGCAGGGCAACTCTGAAATCAAAACCATGTTTGGCCTTGGATACATACTTGAACTGCAACTAAGGTCTGCTCAACATAGCATCAGTTATAAGTCAGCTTCGTTCCCTGGATATTAAAAAACACAAATAGACCTGAGCAGGTGGGGATGTTCGGAAACTGAGAAATTACACTGATTTGCAGTGTACATTTCAGTAGAAACAGATCTGATGATGGATCAGGCATATATTCGTTAGATTGGGAAATTAAATAGGTTAAAATAAAGGTGTTCTTTTTAATTTCGAATAAGGCGCTGGTTATCATTTTCAATTTATATCGTAATGAAAAATAACATTTTATAAATCTTGAACTCTTTGGGTCCTGTCACTGGATCTAACCAACGCCTTTATCCACTGTGCCATGTGTCAATACCTGGTTAAGGCAGCGGAGAACTTGGAGAAGTGAATTAACAGGAGATAACTGATAACTGACATCCATTAGACATGGCACGTGGAACTAGAAAAATCTACCCCAGCGAACTAAATAAAGGTTTCAGTTCGACATTCCAACCACCTGAAGTAGGCCGGAGCGTACCACGGCCGAAATGTTGTGATAAATATGGCAACAAAGATGAGGACAATAGTCCGAATAATGTAGATAGTAAACAATATTTCCAGTTACAAAACCAACTTAGCCCATAGCTGGGGGGGGATAGATCGATTCATACTTTTCTTAAGGGTAAGTGAATGTAACGAAACCTATTGCAATTCGAACTTGCTTCTCCAATTTCTCATTTCTAGCCGCTATCCATTTCATCACCCGTACATCCGTCTCAGCCTGAAAGCAAATATAGAATTTTTTTTCAGCCTATATATTCTGTTTTGTTGAAAATTATTCCAGTTTTTTTCAGGTCTTTTGTGGAAACACTGAAAACTATTTCAGTATTTTAAATTTATTTTTCCTTTTTTTTTTGGTGTGTGCTGCATTGTGTGTCGTCTCTGAATTGTATGAGTCTATCTGCAGTTCCTTTCGTGATAAGTACATTGATTTTTACTTTGTCATCAAAATAAGCTAAAAAGATTAAATGTTTCCCTGGAAAACATGTTTTACAGAAATGTGTAGGTTAGACAAACTGGAGTTTTGCCCGAAACGACCCGAATTGAATGGGGGTGGTTTGAAACCTGTGGGCGTGCTATCGTGTCAGCGATGGATTGTCTAGGTTTAAAATTTTGAGATTAGCCCCCCTCTTCCAGATATCTTTGCGTTTCCATTCATCCAGCGAGGAGACGCGTCACTCACAAGAGGATAGTAGCTAGTTGACTTGCTGTCATCTGCACTTGCTGTATTTCTTTCTCTCTCTCATTCTCTCAAAAAAGAAACCTGGCTAAAACCGTCTGTCGCTCTGTCTGTTGATGCAGCGTTAGGGTCCTTACTGAGGAACTACCAATATGTTGCTACAATTCAAAGACACACAACGCAACATACACACACACACACACACACACACACACACAAGGAAAAATAAGCTAAAATACTGAAATATTTTTTCAGTGTTTCCACAGAGGACCTGAAAAACTGAAATAATTTTTCTTTTTTACAACGATGTTCACCCTTTACAAGACCTGAGGGCCACTCGATGTAGAGAGTTACGTTTATAGTCTATTTGTGTGTATAGGAATGTAAGATAATAGTTAACCCTAGCCTTGAACAGGTTAAGATTGTAGTGATCAGGGAAACATCCTTTTGGGAGTCTGTTCCATAGAACGGTGATTTGCTGGAAGAAGCTGCTCGAGTTATCAGTTATCTCCTGTTAATTCCCCTCTCTTAAAAAATACTTCTCCACGGCCTTAAGGACACATGGCACAGTGGATAAAGCCGTTGGTTACATCCAGTGACAGGACCCAAAGAGTGTGAGTTCAATACCCGGTTAAGGCAGTGGAGAACTTGAAGAGGGGAATTTACAGGAGATAACTGATAACTGACATCTATTAAAACATGGTACGTGGAACGAGAACAGTCTACCGCAGTGAGCGAAATAAAGGGTTCAGATCGACATTCCAACCACCTGAAGAAGGCCGGATCGTGCAACGGCCGAAATGTTGTAATAAATATGGTGACAAAGATGAGGACAATAGTCCGGATATTGTAAATTTTATATGGATTATATTAACATCAACTCTTTGGTCAGTGAATGCCGAAAATTTCCTGCATAGAAACGGTTATTTTAACCATTACTCATGCTATATAAAAAGTTTTTACATGAAAATAAGATGTTTTTCAGCAGCATAAGAACAGTTATCTAACACAAATGTAAAGTCGAAGAAGGGAAGATGTTAAAGCATTGTGGAGGCTTACAATGTAGCGATCAAAAAAGAAATTAAAAACAAACAAACAATGCAAAAGTAAAAGGGAACATGAAAGCTTCGAAACACTTTGGTTCAACTCGATCCAAATATGTCGGTCACGAAGAATAACCATGTTTATACAGTAGCACAAAAGAGCTAAAAATAAATAAGAAAACACTTCACAGATTTATACTAGGAAATAAGTTCCGGTGAAATCTTTGTTCTTCCATAAATAAAAAAAGCGACCATTTAAAGTGAATCCCTGGCTAGTGCCGATATTTCATTTCTGTTTTTTTTTTTGTGATCGTTATACATTGTTTATTATTCTGACGATAAAGGTATGCATGCCTGTTTCGACTACGAGAGTATTTGAAAACACGCTCAGTCTCGGGTCCAGCGAATATGTGTGTGTATGTATGGATGTATGTGTATCTTACCGTGCGTGTGTGCATAAAAAAGCATTAGAAGAATGTTTGTAATGATATTATTCAGATAAGTACATACTCATTTTACGTACAAAAGCCGTAAATATTTTCCAAATATCGCGCCTTCAGAACTTCCTGCCGATTTTTTAAAATCCAGTATCTATCTATCTATCTATCTATCTATCTATCTATCTATCTATCTATCTATCTATCTATCTCAGCCTGTTCGTATCTATCTATCTATCTATCTATCTATCTATCTATCTATCAGCCTGTTCGTATCTATCTATCTATCTATCTATCTATCTATCTATCTATCTATCTATCTATCTATCTATCTATCTATCTATCTATCTATCTATCTATCTATCTATCTATCTATCTATCTATCTCAGCCTGTTCGTATCAATCTATCGATTTATCTGTCTCGTCCTGTTCGTATCTATCGATCTATCTATCAAAGCCTGTTCGTATCTATCTATCGATCTCTCTATCTAAGTCTGTTCGTATCTATCTATCTATCGATCTGTCTCACACTGTTCGTATCTATCTATCTAAGCCTGTTCATATCTATCTATCTATCTATCTATCTATCTATCTATCTATCTATCTATCTATCTATCTATCGATCTGTCTCACACTGTTCGTATCTATCTAAGCCTGTTCATATCTATCGATCTATCTATGCCTATTCATATCTATCGATCTATCTATGCCTATTCATATCTATCTATCGATCTATCTAAGCCTGTTCGTATCTATCTATAGATCTATCTATCTAAGTCTGTTCGTATCTATCTATCTATCGATCTGTCTCACACTGTTCGTATCTATCTATCTAAGCCTGTTCATATCTATCTATCTATCTATCTATGCCTATTCATATCTATCGATCTATCTATGCCTATTCATATCGATCTATCTAAGCCTGTTCGTATCTATCTATCTATCTATCTATCTATCTATCTATCTATCTATCTATCTGTCTCACACTGTTCGTATCTATCTATCTAAGCCTGTTCGTATCTATCTATCTAAGCCTCTTCGTATCTATCGATCTCTCTAAGCCTGTTCATATCTATCGATCTATCTATGCCTATTCATATCTATCTATCGATCTATCTAAGCCTGTTCGTATCTATCTATCGATCTATCTAAGCCTGTTCGTATCTATCTATCGATCTATCTATCTAAGTCTGTTCGTATCTATCTATCTATCGATCTGTCTCACACTGTTCGTATCTATCTAAGCCTATTCATATCTATCTATCGATCTATCTATGCCTATTCATATCTATCTATCGATCTATCTAAGCCTGTTCGTATCTATCTATCGATCTATCTATCTAAGCCTGTTCGACACGTTGACATTTTGTTCAGTCGTCATTTTGTCAGTTCGATATTTTGTCATTCGACACTCTGCCCTACTACCGATGGAAATAAGAGTAGTCACTGCTCTCCAGTTTTTTTTAATCTTTCATCAGAACAAGGAAATTCTTTATTCTTAGTCAATGTAGGTAAGCATCAAGCAAACTCTTAAAAGAAATCCAACGAGAGATTCTTTCTCACTATATCTAAAAACCAAAAACATCATTTTTAGACAGCGCATGCGCGTATATCCCTATAACCACCATTCAGCAAGCATATCTTTTGGGTTGAAGTTCATTATGGCATCTAAAATCAATGCTGGTAAGTGGTGAAGGAGAGACACGGTAGAGTAATGGTTAGAGACTCGCATTGAGTTCGAATTCTAGTCGAGTTCATTACATACACTTATGTTCTAATATTGCGAATATGAATCCATCTATTCTCCACAACCCAGCTATAGGGAAAATAGCATGAATACTGGGTCCTATAACCTTGGGTAGGAACCAGTTTAGGCGAAAGAAACTCTCTCCAAATCAGCCAGCTGTCTTGTAGGTTCTGCTTACAGGTTAGAAGAAGGTAACTTCAAAAACATTTCCACCTTTGAGTTGAGGTACGGGGTAACCTCAATATTACCATTTCACTATTCCGCCTTGAATGTCACCATAAAACACAACTGTAGAGAGTGACCCCAGCGGCGGTGCAAAATGTGGTCACTGAATAAATAAATGATGAAGTGGTTAAGATCAGAGACAGGAATTTATAGATCAGATGGAGTTTACTTGGATTAAGTATAAAGGGTCAAAGAGATTTGCGTATTCTAGTTTCACGGGATTTATTTCGAATTAATCATATTTTTGAAATCGTAAAGAAGACCAAACAGGTATGATCAAACGTTGCTTTAAAAAAGGTAAGAAAAAAAAACCCTTTATGCCGCCCTTATTCAATTAGTACTGCTATATGAAGGCCAAAAAACAAAAGTAGATAATGATTCCGAGATACCTCAGCCTAGGTTTAGTCAAAATCAGGACGCCATTTCATCAATCTGTGTGTGATATACTAAATACTGACTGTTTTTTTTTTTTAATAAAATGATTGGGAGCAAGGTTTTCCTTTCTCAAACAGGAAGATTTTTTATAGTAAGTTTCATCCTGTACAACGCTCAGAAGCCACACGAGGTAGAGGGTTACGATAAGAAGTAGTTTATATGGACAGGAGGGAAAGATGACGGTTGACTTGAACAGGTAAGATTGTAGCGATCGGGGAAACGTCTTCTTGGGACTCTGTTCTATAACGCAGTGGTTCGTGGGAAGGAACTGTTTGGCTGGAACTTACTTCTCACCGATGAAATACAGAGGAAATGTGGGTGGTTTGCTACTGGTATAGCGGGTCCTAGCCATGAAGGTCTGACTTGGTGGAACCAGGAGATACAGTTCGTCCGAGCACTTTCCATTGTAGTAGCTATAGGGCAGTGAGAAATTCGCCACATCTCACCTGTGAGAGAGAGGTTGGAAGGTGGAAAATAATTACTCTCCCACGAGGACTCGGAGACGCGTTTAAGCTGTGTTAACGCTGGAGAGTGAGGTGTGGGCAGCTCCTGCCCAAATGTGGAAAGATTTTCGACCTAATCTGACTCTTATAAAGGGAGAGCATAGCATGAGAACTCAGGTATTTACTGGATCGATACAGAATGTCATTCACTTTAACTGCATCTTTAGCAATGAATTGCATACAGAAATTCCCACTTGAGGTCGGGTATGAGCCCAATATCCTCTCTAGGCTCGGGCCTCCACGACGGGACATCCGTTCATTGTGACTGGCAGTAGTTCGGGGTCTGATTGGCGGTGATGGAATGTAACATGTTTGGTTTTAGAGGCACTGAATGTAACCGGCCAGTTTTCCTCCTTACAGTTTGCGTTAGATTGGAAGAGAAGTAGCTGTCAATTTCTGATCTTCAAGATTTCTAGAAGTGCGCCAGTATATGGGTGTATCATCGGCATATATGTTTGTAGTCACTCACACAAGTTACTGAAACAAGATTCGAAAAGTGTAGCAAGATCCAACTTCTTAGGCCTGATGGAGATCGTCTTCTTCAAGCCACGTCCTTTTTAGACGTAGGTGTTTATGGCTTTCCACTGTTTTCTATCCCTAGTGACTCCCAAGAAGATAGACAATTGGAATTCTTTACGCAGTGATGTTTTGATCACATCGACGGCGGCTAGGTTCAAGGATCCTGCTCAAGTCGCTAAAGGCCTATCAACTAATTTCTTGGTATAAATACGGAAGAATTCATCCTTAGTTTTTAGTGGTTGTTTCTAAAACTCATACAAGGCCCGAGAGACACTCAAGGTAAAGCATTGCTGTGAAAATAGTTATGAAGAATGAGGTGTGTAATAGTGTGATTTTTCTAAGCGTAGCTGTTGCACAAGGCCAAAAGTATGGGGCACCCAGTGAGGATCGGACTCACTATTCAATCGTAACTGATCTAGCGTGACTAGCTTGCTAACCATTACAGCACGTCGAAGTGCCCTATGAGTTGTGTAATATGAACAGAAAAGGAGATTGATAGGAAGTTTATGAGGATGAGGAGGATATATAATAACTCTTGACTTCAGGGAAGCAGCCACTCTAGAGTTAATTTCATAAAGGAGCAAAAACTCTCAGTGGATGTGGAGGAAATGAGGGCAATTAGACTCCATAGAAGTAGCATGGTATTTCCTAGTTTTAAAGGTCTGAAATTGCTATCTAAATACTGCTAGATTCGTGATAGGCTGGCGAAGTGGCGTTCATGGAAATAAAAGTTGAGGAAAAGGACTGACGAGTCGGTTAATATTGTCGAGTTATTTCCTCGTAATTCCCGAAACCGTTACTAGGGGACGCTCTCCAATAATATAAATACTCTGCGATAATTTTTTTTATCTTTCTCTTCTTACTTTTCCGCTAATACGGCATCATTTAAAATTCTCGCATAAGAACGCGTTTATAACCCGTTCCCTTTTTGGGAAACCTATGAACACACACATATACACACACCATACAAACTTTCGACCAAAAAGCTTCCACATTCATTTGTTACACACACATTATTGCCTTTGTCACTTGTAACCTTTTGTTGTTAATACATTATCATTTGTTTGTATATATATATAGGTTCTTGTTTCTATGCATTTCTTTATGTGACTCACATCCCGAGTCCGCCATGTTTATTACTGGCACTTTAGGAGACACACGTGTTTATCTCACAACGCTTACAACCGGACCGCAACAATATAAATAAATAGCGAGTTGTTGCTATTTTGCTTATAAATCTCAAATTATGCCTATTATTCCAGACAAATACTGATATAAAACTTTATTTAAAATAAAAAAACTATTAGAAACAGCTCAAAGCAAATGCATTCCACGTCTTATTTTTAATAAGATCCAATCATTGTTGAACATACCAATTACTACTGATCGATTTTAGTCTAATGAAGTTGTGCAGGTTTGAAAGTTTTTAATTATCTATAGTCAAAAGACTTTGGGTTTGAAGAAAGATAAAAGAAAGTATTAAAACGAAAATAAATCTATAGATTTTCTTTTGATGATGTAGAATTGATTTGAAACAATCAACCGGCGGAAAGCATTTGTTTATTTGGTTATTTCTGAGAGCTAAGTACAACTTGGTGCATACTATTGATGGGTGGGCGGGATTAATGACAGCAGCAAATAATCTGTACCTTCCTGAGAAATAAAATGAAGGATACAGCATTGTATCCAGACAATCTACTAGATGAAAAGATAACGTATTTTTAAGAGCTTTCAAAAGGAAACGTTGGTTTGATTTGGTTTGTTTTGTTTAACGGCATATCAACTTCAATAGGTTATTTAATGCCGACAAAATTTTCATTGTTGGTAATATTTTTTTTTCAAAAAACTATTTCTGATAATATTTTTTCGTTCAAAAAATCTATTTCTGGTAATATTTTTTGTCTTCAAAAAATCTATTTCTGGTAATATTTTTTGCCTTCAAAAAATCTATTTCTGGTAATATTTTTTGCTTTCAAAAAATCTATTTCTGGTAATGTTTTTTGCCTTCAAATAATCTATTTCTGGTAATAATTTTGCTTTCAAAAATCTATTTCTGGTAATATTTTTTGCCTTCAAATAATCTATTTCTGGTAACATTTTTTTTCTTAAAAAAATCTATTTCTGGTAATATTTTTTCCTTCAAAAAATCTATTTCTGGTAATATTGTTTCCTTCAAAAAATCTATTTCTAGTAATATTTTTTTCCTTCAAAAAAATCTATTTCTGGTAATATTGTTTCCTTCAAAAAATCTATTTCTGGTAATATTGTTTCCTTCAAAAAATCTATTTCTGATAATATTTTTTCCTTCAAAATCTATTTCTGGTAATAATTTTCCTTCGTTGGTAATGCTTTTTTCAAAAAATACAAAGCTGGTAATTTTTTTCTCTCAAAAATGTATTGCTGGTAATATTTCTTTCTTCAAAAATTCATTGCTGGTAATAACCTTTTACAAAAATGTATTGCTGGTATTAAAACCTATTTTTACACTTTCATAGTGTTTTAACTACAGTTTTGGGGTCAGCAACTTGCCTATAGCTGGGAGCGTAACAGGTACTACCACCTCGGATCAGGGTGAACTCGAGAACCCCAGCAATTAAGAGGTGGTTCCACACTACTCAAAACCTCTTGATCAGATGCCTTGTTGTTTGACGTAGTTTATCGTCTTACCCAGGACTAAAATGGAATGTAGATTCAGATAAAATATAGATAAAAGTAAAAGGTGACATTATTATTATTGAGGGGGAGAGAGAGCTGTGCTCCAACAAGGTGACGCTGTGACGCAAATATAATAGCTTGTTACTCTCCTTTTCAGAACACACATGTCTACTAGGGCGGCTAGCGAATCCCTGTAGCAGATACATGATCAGGCACATTTGTGTGTATTCAACGTCAACAGAGCCCTACTATGGTTTATGACCA